ACCGTGAAAATAATGTGAACTCGAGTTTTGGACTACTGAAGAATTAATTAAATACAAAGAATTATTTGTGTTACTTAAATCTGTGTTTAATGTATTTAAACTTCACACAGAAAACGCTGTGCAGATTATCTGCACACTTATGCGGATAATCTGCATAGTTATGCGGGATTCACACATAAGCCGAAGTCACTCTCTTATGTGCAAATCATGCATAAATAGTGCGTGAATCATGCATAGTTATGCGAATTATCCGCATAACTATGCATGAAATACACAATTTTTATGCGGATTATCTGCACATCTATGCGTACTTTCCGCACAGATTTGGCATGATTTACACATAAGGGCGAAATTTTGATGAGGATACGTCCATGTTTTCGTTATAAGGAGTCGTTTTGTGAAATTGAGCTTACAGGTCTAGATTTTTCTAGAAAATTCAAGGGACTTCAGAGAGTTTCTAGAAATTTCGAGAGAATTCAAGGAGTTTCTAGAAAATTCTAAAATATTCAAGAAATTTTTAGAAAATTCAAGAAAATGCATGGAGTTTCTAGAAATTTCGAGGGAATTCAAGGAGTTTTGAAAAATTTCGAGGGAATCAAGAAATTTCTAGAAAATTCGGCGAAATTCAAAGAGTTTCTAGAAATTTTGTTTGAATTCTAGGAGTTTCTAAAAATTCCGAGGGAATTGAGAGACTTCTACAAATTTCAAGGAAATTCATGGATTCGTAGAAAATTTTAGAGAATGCAAGGAATTTTTAGAAATTTCGAGAAAATTTAAAGAGTTTCTAGAAAATTCAAAAAATGCAAGAAGATTCTAGAAACTCTGAAGAAATTCCCAGAATTGCTAAAAAAATTGAATAAAATTCTTAGGTGTTCTGGAAATTTGAATAAAATTTGAGTTTTCCAAAATAATCGAGGAATTTCTAAAGTTTTTAACAACATTCAGAAAAAAATTTTTTAAGGGGAGACCGCGGTGAAATTTCAAAGTCTCGACTGAGCCTCACCAGCCATTGGATGACTTTTGATATATGAAGGGATATATAAAAAAGTGAGAAAAATTTCAAAGTCGAACCGTTTTGCCCCGTATATCCACCAAAAACGTCATTTTTGACGTTTTTAGCTTAAAAAGGCTCCTTGGACCACAGTTTTCATCCGATTACAACTTTTTTTTTTTAATGTTCGTTATACTCCACCGAAAAAACTCAAGTATCCGTTTTACTTTATATTTATTAGATGATGAGAAAATGTTTTTTTTACTTTTTATTTTTTTTCCTCTTTTTAGCAAATGCTAAAATTCGTTGTTTTCCCCCCATTTTTTTTTTGTTATAATATTTCGATTACGTATGATTACAACGTGGAATAACGAAAAACAACTAGTTTTAGCATTTGCTAAAAAGAGGAAAAAAAAATAGAAACTAAAAAAGTAATTTTCTCATTATCTGATAAATATAAAGCAAAACGGATACTTGGGTTTGTTCGTTGGAGTATAGCAAACATTAAAAAAAAAAGTTGAAATCGGATGAAAACTGTGGTACAAGGGGCATTTCTAAGCTAAAAACGTGAAAAACGACGTTTTTGATGGATATACGAAGAAAATGAATTCTTACTTTTTCAAGTTTCAGCAATGTTCTCATTTAAACCATTAAAATGCAACCTGAGAAATAACTTTCATACCACTGAGGAGAAAAAAATTAGCGAAAAAATCCCTGTAATTAACTTTTTTGACCTTGTGTTTTTATGTGGAACTGCATCAATAGAATATTTTCTAATTAACAATCCAAAAGAACTGTCTAGCAAATTTGCGAGGATTTTCTACTAAATTTTTTCATGCGTACTTATTTTCTTCAACTTATTTACCTTTTATAGGGGAGGCTGAAATAAACTGAAACCTTAGCTACCCACAGCGTGATGAAGAGTCGAAACTAATACAACAAACAGCGCTCTTTCACTTTCCTCTACTGTTCTATTTTGTCCCATTATCCCCTTAAGGAGTCTCCTCAGTAATTTTCGCCACAAAACGACAATGTGCTAGCGAATTGAATATGTAATATAATAATAAAAAATCGTAAAAGGAAAATTGTAAAAAAAACTCTGAGTAGTTTTATCGTTTCATTCGTTTTCAATTAATCATTCGAATTTCTGCTTATACATGGGCTTTAAGAACGAAATTTTGTCCCTTACCCCTCACCCTGTTGACAATGTGCTAGCCAACAAAGGAAGCTATATTAATTTATATTAAACTCTCAAAAATAAGGGAATGAAGTCTCATCGAGTTTTGCCAGTAATTTGTTGAATAAATTAACGATAAAAATAATTGGCGTGATGTCTGTCACTATCCAACGCACGCCATGTTTGATGTTTCGTCTCTCTCGAAAATAACCTCATTAACTTAACCATTTTACGCTCCACTCACCCGCGCGCCTATCGCCGTTTTGCCCTACTCAGGAGACCCCTTAAATTATTGATTTTNGGTGACACCTCAGGGATACTTGAACGAGTAGAGGGTGGGAGAAGTAACTGAAATTGTAATCACTCCTATCCCAGGTGTTGAGAAGTAAAGATCTAAATAATTGTGATATTCAAAGTTGAGAAGAGACAATATTGTGAAGACTTTTTGAGGAATAATTTGACCGTGAAAATAATGTGAACTCGAGTTTTGGACTACTGAAGAATTAATTAAATACAAAGAATTATTTGTGTTACTTAAATCTGTGTTTAATGTGTTTAAACTTTATTTCAAATATCCCGCACTTACAGAGCAGAGTGGTTTAGCACTCCACGGGCAACTTACCCACGAGCCCTCTGGAATTTACTAGACTTGAAAATCCACACACAACAGGGGCATGCCACTTTCGATTAATCGCTGTTTTTCGATTAATCGATGTCAATGTGAATTCGAGAAATGTCATGTCCTTTTTATATAAGGATTGTAAGGATATTTTCCCGAGTTGTTCACCCAGGAAAAATCCAAACTACTTTTTAGCCGTCTCTATCGCTCAATAGTCGGGCGCCAGCCGAACCTTCACGGGAGGTTCGACGAAAACCGGCCTCTGAGGCAAACTCGTCCACTCAAAGGACTTTTGGGCTGGACAATGGGTTGCCCAGCTAACATCAGCGTGATACGGTAGAGTGGGCGAGGTCCACCAGGAGTATTACCGTCACATTCCACGGCCTTTGCAAGCCGTGAATTATGCCTCGCGGCACAAGTTCCCTACTGAATGGGATTCATCTTTCCTCCGGAGGGTCTCTCGACTCCTCCGGCATGCTTCCTCTCCTTCCGAGTATTTCTACTCAGGACAGTTTCTGAGCTACCTGCGATTCAGCCGGGACTCCTCAGAGCCTGGGACGTGGAAAGGCTGATCTGACCAGGGTGGAACTACGTTACCCACGCTACGACCACCCACTCTCTCCACCACCAGTTACCGCTTTGGTCATCGCGCGTCACTGCCTCCGGGTAGTACTAGACCGTCGGCGTATGGTCGGACCGACAGGAGGATTTCTCGACTCCAGGCCCACGGGCCCATACGCCTCGAATCGTTCCGCCGAGACTAGATGACGCCGAACACGACGAAGTCGTCACCTCGCGTTCCGAAATAACTCAGATTTACGCGCGGGGGATGCAGGGGCATCCCCCTATATTCGCCGCCACAGTTATGCACCAGGCTACGCTGAGTAAACTCCTTACCATGGCTTCTTCAGCCATCCACCACTTCCAGCACACCGAGAGATTATTTCAACCTCTCGGTTCAAGCGCTCGCGTGCGACTCACTCGGAATCTTACTAGGGCCTTGCCTCCTAGTCTGGATATCTCGGCGACGATAGGTCATTCCGTTACCCTATCCCCACCAATCAACCCGACGGGATCACGGAGGTACCAGTCCTTTCACCTGGCCGTTGGTCCCTAGCCTACTCCGACATAGCCTATAGAATCGCCCAGTTGGACGGCCTGTACGTCGGCCCCATTTCCCCTAGCACATGCTGGGCGAATTCTAATACGGCGATAGTCTAAGTAACGCCCTCCAGACCTCCAGGGGTCGCGGTTTCACCCATAACCGCTATGCTTAGGTCTTTCATTGGTTTGTGGTTTATCTCACCTAGTCCCGGCTTTCTTCAGCCGCTTCTAGGTGTCGCTACTTATCTCTCTTCAACAATTTTGAGAGTTCACTTATCTTTTTGAGGGGATTTCAACCCGTAACGAGAAAATCTCGTTACAGGATATAGGATAATAAGGATGGATATTTATATCGATATTTACACAATCAATACTCAATTATCCGTTTCATTGCATTCATTCTCACATTTAACCGAACGGCGATTGCGAGTTCGACTTTCATAGAATCAATTCGCCTTCAAGTTCTCATTCGAGATTCCCGATGCCTCTCTCTTATTATATAGGAAAAATATTGAGTGGAAAAATTGGTAATTATTATGCATATATAAATGTATTCCATTGATATATTTTCTACAAAGATCCATCAGCATGAATTTGCTATTTGTTTTACGGTTTTTTCTTCTTTCATGAAAAAAATTCAAACGAAAAATCGTGGAAAATTTTAGCCGAAGAATTTTCATAAAAACAATTTGAACAGGGCTATAACTTATATTGGAAATTCAATTTCTATGGATTCTTTCTATCGAACTTTATTTTACGTGGTTATTTCTCGTGGAAGAAAGTAAGATCTACACGGGACAGCTCTTATAAAAATGTGGGCGTCTCCCCTTAAAAATATCAGGACATTAAAAAAAAATTAATTCCGAGGCTCAACGGACTTATCTCGGTTCATGACTTCTCCGAGATATCTGATTTTTAAAGAATTTTTCTCCAATGATTCAGGATAGAAAATTTTGTTATTCGAGCAACAACTTTTTCGTTCGTCGATGTCTAAAACACTTCTACGAAAAATGCCCTGAGATGTCTGAGATATCTTATTCAAACGTTGGATTTTCAATTACGTGAAAATCAATAATTTTTTTAATTTCAACGGTATTTGAGGATATTACCAGGCCCAGAACATCAGGATGTAGAACGTTGGGTGCTGTCACAAGGATACTCTCGTATGTGAGATCATCTTTGAAGTGTTCCTTGACCCAGGTGGCGTCTGACCTCAGAACAGCCTTCCTGGGAATATATAATTCAACATCGTCTACTTCCTCCCTCCACAGAGACATCCCAGGACCACAGACTCCACTCACGCATAACGATGTTATCAGCCACACCCATGGGTTATTGCCTATACTTAAACCTATTCTGGAAAAAAAATCATATTAAAGTATAATAACGATTTTCATCGAGAAAACATTCTCCAAACTTTGTGTCATTTGTTGGATTTTGATAACTTTAGTAATTCTGTCATTTCTAATTGAATTCTGGACTTGATTAATTAATGGAGGGCTCTTCATTAGTGAAGGGATATCACCCTCTTTTAAACTAATTGGAAAAACCTGAAGCAAATGGAAATTTTAATGTCAATATAAACCTTAAAAAATTTGAAATAAAGAACTCTATTTCACTAGGAAAATTATTCTCGTCATCGTAAATTCTCCCGAGTAAAAAAATTATAATTCAATGGGATAAGAATCACTGAAATTTCTTGAAGGCAGTTTTACAAAGAACTAATTAATTTTCCTCTATAAGATCCCCGGTTTCATTTAAGTACTGCAGGGCTCAAACTTCTTTCATCAATTTCACTTTGAAGTCGCTATTTTGAATATTGAAGGGGGATTGTAGAAATTCTCAAGATGCCTTTCTGAGTATTCGTGTTGTTCCCTTAAATTCGAAGATGTAAGACCTGTAGAAAAGAGATTCTATTGACCAACGACACTCCTAGTTGATTGCCGTATTGAAGTTTTGAGACTTGATAAGTCAAATTTACTTTGAATTCACTTTTTTTTCAAGTGACTTGGGATTGAAAGGGAATTTAAAAAAAATCTCATACATTCGATATTAGTCTTGACAAAAAATCATTTCTCCGACAAGTCTTGAAATGTATCATATAATTCAAGAGAAAAAATAATTTTTCACAATGCCTAAGAAGCTTATCTTTCTGCACGGTATAGCGAGGGCTAAGTTCCCTCAACAGAGTGACTAGGATTCGAAGTTATCACTAATGGACCTTTTTTTGTAGAAAATTTTCTACCCTACAGGGATAATCTTCTTACACTCCGTCTCGAAACCGCTCATTTCTAAGACGATCATTAGATTGGAATCAGGCGATGCTTGGAGATATCATTGCAGGGCACTTTTTGAGGTGAATTTTCTCTGCATATAAAAAAATAATTCCGGGAGATAGCAAATTACGGCCCTGTGCGATAGAAATCCCTGTACTGGCAGGGGAATATTCCATGCGTCAGTTTTCGGACATTTTTATCAAATGACAGTTACAGTGGAATTCATGAGATAATCAATGGGGGCTGTAAATTTCAAATAATTTACTCCATGACAATCAATACAAATGAGGTAAATTCGGAAAGATATATTTTTGAATTTTAAATTCATTGAAAATTCATCGAAATTCCGTCCTGGATATTCATATTCTAATTCAAAATTCATCTGGTACCGAAAGATTTGAAATTGCACTTACTTGTGAGTGAACTTCGAAATTGCATCATTTATACCCCCCTAAATCGAATTCAATGTCGCTATTCTGAAAATTACTTTTCGTCAGAAGGCCCGTAACGGGCCGAAGCCCGTACCGGGCCTTCTGACGAAAAATTGCATTCGATCATCACACGGTCCAAAAGTATTTTCTGACGAATGTGGCTTCGTCGAATCACATTCGTCAGAAAATACTTTGTGGACCTTGTGATGAAAATAACTAACTGAACTGGGTCATGAAGTTGCAGTCTTTTTCTAACAGTGCATACTTTTTTGTTTACACATTCGATCGAGCATTCGCTTATTCTAATGATGAGTGATGCCATGAGGAATCATGGAAGAATTTTGTAAAAATTTTGTGCTGGAAAAAAAATCTCTTAATATTTTTTCTGAAATTCTGTCATTTCTCAGATAGTACCTACTAATTCCCTCTAATTCGCCGCTCCTCTAATCCGCCGGACTTCCCCTACAGGCCTGTATTCCCTTCACCGCAGTACCCCCACTGGTGATGATTCGTATGTCCTTGTTAATTACGTCATGCGCGTACAATTGCGCAGTGGTTTATAAACGTGACGAGCCGCACAAGCTGTGTACGCGTTTCATAATCAACTATACCCTCCCAAAATGGAAAAATGTCGGCACTTGGAAAAAAATACGTAAATATGTCGAAACTACAACGTAGGAGAGACCGGGGCAAAATGAAACCCCTGTAAAATTTGAGATTTTACACAAAGGATTGATTTTTCTACAGTTACTAATGAAATATCCCAGTGTTAATAGATTTAAAGTATAAATATAACTCAGATTTCAAAGATTACAATCTGAGAAAATTCTAAATGGAAGTTAACACGAATAGAAGCATTCTGGTTAAGTTAGCGCCCAATTATTAGTCTAGTATTATTAATAATAATTAGTTAATAAATGCCAAAATAACCATGATCACGACGAAGTTTGATCCTCGTGAGGTAAACGGGAGAGACTCTTTCACTCGATTTACGATCACTCGGCCCTTGTCCTTAAAATTTCATAGACAGCCGACTAGTAATTTTTAGAAGGTAAATATTGAATGCGATATACGGAGACAAAAATTATAAAATTTCAGATTTCACAGAAAATTCCAATTCTTTAAGCAGCATTAAGATAAAAATTCCTCAACTTATTAGAATTTTCTGCAAAAAAATAAATATTTAGTGTTAAACAACGCTGAATTTTTAATTAATTGAAAATACATGATGTGGGATTCGATGAAGAATAGAAGGGTTTTGTAAGTTATAACACTCGGAATTAACGTAGATATCGAATTGAATTTATTCACAGCGAAAGTAACTTTGGTTTACACCATAAGAGCTGGAACATTAGTGAGCTCCCGCGACAACGGTATTAGATCATCCGATCGAGGATGTCCGAATTATTACGAATCGTCGCGAAGATATCTTGCGATAAGGACAGCGATATATCGGAGAAACATGTCACGGTACGAAATTTGCTTGCTAAGGAGAGCTCGAAAACAATACATTGAACTGGTGTAAAATAAATATAAAAGTAGCTTCGCTACACAAGATTATATTTCCTGAAAATTTTCTGATTTCTAATAAGTTTCAGGGAATAATTAAACTTACCTTTGCAGTTCTCAATGATTTCCCATGAGATTCTGAATTTTCAATGACGAAATTCCTTGCAATTTTAGTGGAACTAAAATGTGATAAAAATTCCCTGATAGTGTATCGGAAATTTACCGCCAAAAAAATTTTAAGTGTACAAAAAAAAATCGCGTTATGCTGAACTTACAAAAATTCATAACTGTAAGATGAAATATCTGCATGAGACAGAAAGTTTGTTCATTCCCGTAAAAATTATAATATTGCTCATAACGACGATTAGAGATTGTCTTAGATAGAAGTTCCTTTTTTTGATTCGAAAACTTATTTTCCTACTTATGCGATCCTTTAAACAACGTTACATCGAAAAAAACACTGGACTCATTTGTCTCATTGAAAAACAAAAAAAAGGGGGTCTCATTTTGCCCCGGGGTATCATTTGGCTCCGCTGTCCATTTTTCCCCAGTCTCATTTTGCCCCGGTCTCCTCTATATAAAGTTGTAAGTATTAGAATATGAGAGAAGAAATGATACTTCGATTAATGCTATCGCTGAGAATCTGAAGGTCAGTGAAAAAACTATAAAATCGTGGTTACAAAAGGAAGAAAAATTGAGAGAGTGGCAGAGTGAACAAATAACATCACCGCTCACCAGTTTCCGTCCATTCTCTAACATCGCTCTACAGTCTGGGGGAGTGGGAGAAATCCTCTAATACGGCTTTTCGGAATAAAACGATCAAAGTTAGGTCCCGAGCCTGGCGGATTAGAGGGATTCTACTGTATCCTAGCAAACATTTTGGCTGGCGGGGCGACTTTGCCGATCAGGGCAATAGTGGGTGGGCGAGGTCGCCGGTGCGTGTCGACCTTTGATCTTTATAGGACGCACCAAGGCAAGCTCCCCCACCTGTGTCGTTCGAAAACGGTAATTCGTTCGAAAACTTTTTTAACAATTTAGCAGCACATTTCTAACTCATAAATGGAAAGTAGTTTTTTTGAAAATTTTCACTCCATAGGAAACATACCCGTAAAAGAGTAAATGTTTTGCTGAATTTTTTTAAATGCCTCAAGTAGCTCTTCTAGTTTACTCCACCGGTGATAAAAGTCATCTATCTGTCAGGGTTGATTAGAAAATAGTATGTTTCATCATTGGGCTGAAAAAAAATTCTCTGGCGAATATGAGTTTGCAACCCTAGCTGAAGGCGATCATATATCATATGAGCTAGAAAAGTTTTTTTAGGCCATATGTCGAATGATATTTTTTATCATAACTGGAGAAGGCAGCAATGTACAAATGCGTAGCGTTCGTAAAGCGGTGCCTTACGGCCGGAATGACGAACAAAATATTTTCTTCGGCTCGGCCGAAATATTTCATGGGTTACGGGTACGGGACCCATGGCACTGAAACTCGAACAGTGCAACGTATGGCGATATTTGGTTCTATTCTTAAGAAAAACCGGTAAGAAATTCTCTCATCGTCCACCTCGCAATTGCTGGTGGAATCGCGCGCCTACTGTATGGATTACAGTCCATTGTTCGCGGGCGATCCATGCTCTAAGGCAGGGAAGGGCACACAGCGCTCATCGAGTGATCGTATTAGCTCCCGGACCCAATTAGCTTAGTTACAATAGGTTGAAGAGGTCCTTTTGTACCGGGCGGAGGACTTTTATGACCCTCTTTATGGGGCGCCCTCCGACTGACTCAGCCCGGGTAGTGTGACACTCCGGAGAGTGCAGTAAAATTGAAACTTTTAGAATACGTATTTAGTTTTTTAACCCTCTGACTCGCAAACCGTACGAAACCGTATCGGTGTGATAGCTGCCAATTACAGCGCGCCGCGTGATGTGTTAATGAGAAATGGCCATGTGACTATCCCCTCCCCGAGTGAAAATTGTTTCAGGCCCACCTAAAGCACGATCAGAACTTGATCAGGTTTTTGTAAGGTTCGATTGATCCGGTGATTCCTGATAAGAACCTCACGAAGTTCTGATCCGGCAGTTCGAATCCGAAAAACTACAGGCGGGTTCAGATCAAGTTCTGATCAGGTAGACATGATCAGCTGATGCCTGACGAGAACCTGACAAAGTTTTGATCCAGTAGATCGGATCCGAAAAACTGCAGGATGATTCAGATCAAGTTCTGATTAGGTAGACACGATCTCACCCTAAGGTCGGCTGCCTGACACCAATTTAATTTGATCGAATTCGGATTTGATGTCTTTGATCGGTATTTGAACGGGGTCAATTGAAGAGAAAATGATCAGATTCAGATCCGGTCTACCTGACATTAATTTTAATAAGTTTTTCGGATCATTTAATTAACTATTATTATACTATTCAAATTAAGTTTTATCAACCATTATCAATAATTATTTTCAATCTGTAAAAAGGATCATTATACTATAATTGAAATAAATTAAATTAAATTAATTTCATTTAATGAATTTAATTTAATTAATCAATTTAATTAACAGCCAGCCCTTCTCAAATGTATAGAAGGGAGAGATGATGATGCCGCAAGTACGTATTAGAGGAGTATCAAACTTACACGCAAATGATCTTGAGAAAAAACTCACCAAATGTCTATTTATTTATTAGTGTTATTGTTATTATCATTATCATTATTCATTAATGAAATGAATAAAAATTTAATTGAACATCTTTTATCTCTGAGAATACACACGCACATCCGCGAGATCAGAAATAATCGTAAATTCAACGAATACCCCGATACAAATCATATAGGCAATGTACAGTTTACTAAATAGTAATAGCACGATAGCGTAGTGGTTAGGGTATAGTATTAGCAATCATAGGGTCCCCGGTTCGATCCCCAGCGTCGGTAAAAAAAATAATAAGCTTTTTCAGAGGTAATAGCAGTAGAGATTCATTAAGAGGAGCGGCCTACAATGAAAGAATTGAATTATCGTTTGTTTTGGATTAATTATCATTAAGGCCGGAGACTTCATTTACGAAAACGGCTATTATCAGAAGTTGGCTCCAAATAGGTGATTGAAGTGAGCGACAAGTAGGG